TATTTTTTCAATGCTATTTATATGTGAACACCATTTTAAATTTTCATCCAATTTTACTCCTAAAAAATTTATGTAAGATTCCCTTTTAATATAAGTTTTATTAATATTAAGATCTGGTAATTTAAGAGGAATATTTTCTGATTTATTTACTTTATGGAAAAGCATATATTTTGTTTTTTCCGCATTTAGTGAAAGTTTATTACTTACGAACCATGCACTATTATTACATAACTGTTCGTTAACTATTTTAAAAAGTGATTTAATATCTCTGTGAGAACAAAAAAGATTTGAATCATCAGCAAACAAAAATAGGTCTAAAAGATTTGTTGATAGGTATAAGTCGTTTATGTACAATATAAATAAAAGTAGTCCTAAAATAGAACCCTGAGGAACCCCGCAAGTTATGGAGTGTGGAATTGTATTATTTCGATTATAGTATAAAAATTGCTTTCTGTTAGTCAGATAATCTTTGAACCAAAGTAAGTTTTTATTTTTTACACCGTAGTTTTCGAGTTTTTTTTATTAGTTTATAGTGATTTACGGTATCAAAAGCTTTTGACAGATCAATGAAAATTCCTAATGTAAAACAGTCATTATCTAAGGCGTTAGATATTTGATTGGAAAGTTCAACTACTGCGTGTTCAGTGGATTTTTTTTTTTTTAAAAACCAAATTGTTTACAATACAACATGTCGTTCTCAGTTAGATGATTATAAAGTCTGTTATACATTATTCTCTCTAGCAATTTTGAAAAACAAGGTAAGATTGATATAGGCCTGTAATTTAAAATATTTGACTTATCTCCAGATTTAAAAATTGGTGTTATATGGGCAATTTTTAATTTATTAGGAACAATACCTGACTTTAATGAGAGATTGAAAATGTGAAATAAAGAAGGTTCAATGACTTCAAATACTGATTTGACAACATCAACACTAATTTTATCAAAACCTTCACTTTTTTTACTTTTGAGACTGCTAAATGCAGTTCTCAACTCACTCAGTTTTAAATCAGTTTCATCCATAAGTTTATCATAAGTTTTTAAGTCAAATGGAATGGAATTAGTAGAAATTTTAGCAGCCAAATTCGGGCCAATATTAACAAAGTAGTTGTTTAGTTCTTCAGCTATAATTGATTTTTCATAAACTAATTCTCCATTAATTAAAAGATTTTTTGGCAGAGTGCTTTTGTTATAATTATTTTTTCCAATTAAATCCTTAATTAAATTCCATATTTTTTTAGTGTTTCCGTTGGTTTTCTTTAATAATTGATCATAAAATAGTTTTTTTGAGTATTTTTTGGTTTTTTCAAATATATTTTTATAATTTTTGTAAGTTATTTCATTTTTATAAGTTTTTTTTTTTTTTAAATATTTTATATATAATTTTTCTTTCTTTTTTGAAGATTTTAGTAAGCCTTTATACATCCAGGGAGCTTGAAGTGACTTGGTATTTATGACTTTTTTTATTTCTGGAAACGCTATTTCATATTGTTTGCAAAATTGATTAAGAAACAAGTCATATGCATTGTTAGCCTCATTTGATTGCAGTACTAGATTCCAATCAACACAATTTTTTAAACAATTTTTAAATTGTTTTAACGAGTTTTCATTGATCTGTCGCCGAACTATTATGGATTTTGTGGAAATATTGTTAATTAAAATGTTATTTGTAGCTAAGAATGTAGGAAAATGATCCGATAAATCGGTCTGGATTATACCTGTGTAAGGAGGGTTATTATGAAAGTTGTTAGTTATGATGTTATCAAGTAGAGTAGAAGACCTATTTGTTATTCTTGATGATTTGTTTATTGTTGGGATAAAGTTATATTGTAGAAGAGTATTTATAAAATTCTTAGTATTATTATTTGAAGCATAGTTGATCAGGTTAATGTTAAAATCCCCCACCAAGTAAATATGTTTTCTCGAATTTGTAATTTTGTTTAGAAATGTTTTAAGATGAGTTTTAAATTTCTTTAAGTTTCCAGATGGTGGTCTATATGTAGTATTTATAATTATGTTTTTTTCTTTATTATTTACTTATTCGACGCACAATGATTCATAATCTGTTTCATTGACGCCTAGATCGTTACGTAAAATATAATTAACTGAATTATGGATAAAAATACTAACGCCCCCACTCGCATTAACTTCACGCGGTTGGTGAATTGATGTGTAATTAACTAGTTCAAATTCATAATTTGTTTCACCGCATTTACACCAAGTTTCCGTCAAACATATAATTTTAAAATCGTGTTTAATTTCATCCAATAAAATTTTTAAATTTTCAAAGTTTTTATTTAAACTTCGAATATTGATATTTAAAATTGAAAAAGTGTTTTTAGTTTGTCCTAGATATTGCGAAGATTCAGAAACTGAGTAGTATTGACTTTCTAGCATTTTGTGATTAAAATAATTAGAGTCGGTGTCATTATCACCGATGATGTCATTTAAATTAGAAGATTTAAATATGACATTTTCCTCCATTTTTAAAACAGTTTAATTAAATATGCATAGTAATAATGAAAATAAAATTGCGTTAATTAATGCCAAATATTATGAAGATAAATTTTTGCTTTTCTTTGCAACCCAATCGCGAATTATCAATTTATCATAAGATATGAAGGCAAACTTACCAGCGGCTCGTTCAATTTTCATTTTCTCCCTCAAATTTTTTCTGGTTTGTGTTGTTTCAAAACAGAAGTCTTCGTTTATATAAATGTTTTTACCTTTTAGCTTACTCGACTTGCTCAAGATCGCGACTTTATCTCTAAAATCTAAAAGTTTTGTCGCTATTGTCCTCGGCATTTTTAATTTTTTGTTTCCAGTTCTATGGGCCCGTTCAATTTGGACATTTTTAACTGATAATATATCTTCAAAAAATTTTTTTACCTTCATTTCGCTTTCTTCCCAGCTTTCACCTTCATTTTCATCAATTCCATCTACTCTTAAATTGTTACGTCTAGATCGATCTTCCAATTACCTTAACTTTTTTTGTATACTTTCTGAATTGTCTTCTTTACTGCAAACCTTTGCTTTCTTAACTTTTTCATCAATTAGTTGTTCATGAAAGTTTAAACTAAGTTTCAATTCTTCGATGTCCTTTTTTACTTTTTCCAAACTGCTATTAAATATTTTCAAGTTTCCACTAATAATATCAATAAAAACTTTTTCTTGTTGCTTTAACATCAACTCAAATTCTTTTTTGTAGTCCTCAAACAATTTTGTTATTTCTAATAATGTAACAGCCATATTATATAAAAAAAAAGATTTGTATTTTAGAAAAATAAATGTAAAGTAATTTCGCTTTAATAAAGTCGTTTAAAAAAAAACACGTCCGATCGCGTAGAAGTTGCGGCTATTTTGCGGCTATTATTGGAATAAAACAAGCTGGTATCATCTGCAAATAAAATTGTATTTAAAATGTTAGAAAAATTATTTAAATCGTTTATATAAACAAGAAATAGAAGTTGCCCTAAAATTGATTTTTGAGGAACACCACATTTAATTGTCTCATAATTAGTTTTTCCTTCATCATAAACTATATACTGCTTCCAATTGGTCAAATAACTCTCGAACCAGGACAAGTTAGTATTTTTTATACCACAACTTTTGAGTTTCGATAGAAGGATTTGATGATTGACTGTGTCGAAAGCTTTACTTAAATCGATAAAAAGATATAGTGGTTAATAGTGGTTATAAATAGTGGTTAATAGTGGTTATAACCCTCTCTTAACTCTATAACTCCGAAACACGAACCTTGACGAACAAGGCCGCTGCGCGGAGAAACGAGTTGAGCGCGGTACCACGACGTGGTGTATATATATACATATATATAAATGTATATACACACAAACATGTACTAACCATCAGTTTGCGTGTAGATTGAATTCTTTTTTGTATTTAAAAAATAGCAAGTTTTACTTTACTCATTGAAAGCTTTATGGGCTTGTTTCTAACTCGATGGATATCTGACTTTTTTTATCACACTTGTCTTCATGTTAGCAATCTTTTTTGCTAACGTTTAAATATCAATCTTTGTTCCTGTTACTTTGAACATTTAGTCTTGCATTTTAAAATATGCTCTTTTTTTTCTTTATTTTAACGTTTGCAGCTTGGGTTTTTTGTTAAGGGATTGGCAATTCGCATAGTATGTTTATAAAATTTCATCTTCACATTTGTTAAAACCTTGGCAAGCAATATTATTTTCACTTGATTCAATTGAAATCTGGTTTTAAATAGCCATTTTTAAACATCAAAAGAATAAAAAGCTATTTATATCGGCAACTAAATACAGCTTTTACTCTGACACAAAAGCAATTGCTTGTGAGCATCAGCAAACTTTTATTCACACATATTTGAGCAATTGCTTTGCGAGCATTTGCTTTTTTCTTTTACTTTTACTCAGAGCAATTGCTTCTGAGGAATTTCTCTTTTTTATTCACCCGGCCTTTTAACCGTTTTAGCTGTTTTAATTATTTTAAACTCAATTTAAATATAAAAATTGTAATTTAGATAATATAAAAATTTTGCTATCTATTATATCTATTTATATGCAAGCATTTTTATTTATATCTATTTATATGCAAGCATTTTTATTATTACATTATATATTTATTATCTATTTATATGCAAGCATTTTTATTTATTTACTTATTCTTTTTTAAATTTTTTTTAATTTAAACTTCAATTGTTTTTTTTTTTTTGTTTATTTTAAACTTGAAGTATAAGTATGAACATTGTAACTTGGATTGTTTTTTTAAAGTTGCTTGATTTGAAGAGTTCTGTTCATAACTTAGATGTGTTGATTCTACTTGATTTACGATACTAAACTAATATATATCAATGGTAGATAAATTAGGTAACTAAGTAATAAAAAAAGATAAAAAATAATACCTAAAAAGTTTACTTTTAAGTTAGCAAGCTTATTTTGATTTTTAAGATTTATTTTAAGTTTTAAAGAAACATTTTAATTAATTACTTTTTTCTTTTTTTTTTATTAGATACCTGGCGCCTTTGTGACAAATAATATAAATCAATATTTGAATATAACTTTAGACACGACAAGTTGCTCACTGAATGGTGACTTTACAGTAGAGATTCCATTAAAAATTTCATTCAATGACAGGGCAGGATGTAATATGGATTTATACACATCGTTTAAAACAAATGCAACTTTAACTTACAATTCAAATTCAATAATTAAAAGAGATAACAACGCATTAAAAGGTTTCTAATTTTTTTTTTTTTTTTTTTGTGTAACCCAGTTAAAACCAGGTTTAAACAATTTAAATTAATAATCAAACATTTTTATATATTTGATACAACTTTGCAATCAGTAATTATTTGGTGTTCATCACACGAAATACTTCATCATCTCTACTGCAAATACTTTTAGATGATATGTGTTTAGTTTACCTTGTTTTCAATATAAAATACTTTTAGATGATATGTGTTTAGTTTACCTTGTTTTCAATATAAAATATATATCTTAAGATCGAGAAAACTCATAAGTTTTGTTTTAAATTTTCATATTTTTATTTTCATTTCAGAAATGAAGTTATATTCTTTACGTAATAATTTCTTGCCAGTGTGAATGGCTTAGCTAATTAAAAAAATAATCCATGAAGAGAAATGTTTTATTTATTGGTGTGTATAATCGGGAAATGATCTTATGGAAATACAATGCAAGGCTGCGTAACGCAATAACAAATTTAAAACTAATGGCATCAGAGTAACAGATAAAATTTTGATTATCAAGTTTCTATTATTAAGTCAGATCAAGCAGACATTATGCTTAAATGCAAGCCTTCATATTTAGAAATTTTCTCAATATAAACAATAGGGTAAAGCGTTCTGCAATGAAGGAAAAAAAGGTTTTCGTAAAAATATATAATAGTGATAGAAATTTGTCCGAACATATTATAAGTAATGTGTGGAAGTTTCATCAGGATTGTGATAGATCTTGAGGGTCCTCAATAGGCTTTGAGTTTGTTGAGGGTGGGGTGTGTGAAAGCACGTAAAATTTGCAGGTTTGCGTTTTGCGCAAAAGGCAAATTTTTTTATATTTATTTTTTTTATATTTATTTTTAAATTTTTTTATACTTGTTTTTAAAAAATTGCGCCTTAATTACTATTTGAATGTCTCATGTACTTTTAAATTTTTTGAAAGAACATGAGACATTTAAATAATAACCAAATATATGTTAGAATTGAAAAAGAAGAGTCTACAAAATACATGCAGAAAGCTATTGCTTATAAAACTGTCCAAGGCATAACTCATTAAAGTAGGCATAAAATATATAAAGCCGACCAATTTTGCTAAATTCGCATTTTGTACGATTCTATGCTTGTTTAAAGTTAATTGTTAATCTTATTTCTTTTAAGAATGAATATTTGGAACAGTATTTAAGCAGAAGTTAATGCTAATGATTTCAACAAAGAATCTACAATATTTAGTTAATTTAAAACTAGCCTTGTATTGACTTATATAAATCGCATTGGGTAAATTCACCTACTATTAGTTAGGTCTATTAAGAGACGCAATAGTCTGACTTAGTGTTGAAAATTGGCATTATGTTGCAAGCCTCTAAACGGAATTGGATAAAACCATTGCAAGCCGATTGTCCACAAAGAGCCAGCGATGCCTCCGTAACAATTTTTAAGCACCGTTTAACTGATTGTGGGTAAAACCATTATCTATCAAAATCATTATTGGAGTCTTCATGAGTTGCTATAAATAGTTGAACATCAGCTTCTGCTACGTTCAGAGTCAGGGGTAAATCTGTTACTGCTGCATTTTTCCATTTCTATCTTTCCATTTTTATCTTTCCATTTCCATCTTACCAGTCAATGAGATCAAAATATTCAACAACATCAAAGTTTAGAATTGAAACCCTGAACTGGCGGAGAATAGACGGTTTTTCCAGTTGTGCTTTGAGAATTCGACGTAAGCCTAACTCGCAGATTTTTTGTTTTCATTGATTTTTGTCAACAACACATTTCCGGGGTGTCAAAAGTACCCATTACGTTGCAGTACAGGGCCAATAATTTTTAGCAACTCTTGAATAAGATATCGCGACAACTGAATTGTGTAAAAAAGATATCTCGCACCATCTTTACATGACGGATGCATTTTATTGCTGAACCAAAGAGGATCATAAATCTTTGCGATATATGTGACCAAATGTTGAAAATTGATTGAAGGCTTTTCACTAGATATACTACTTTCACCAAATATACTACAAGCCCCTATTTATCTAGTATTCCGCATTATTGCCATTTTTTACTGTTTACAAATGGCAATATTCTGAACTCTTTTTTACACTACTGTCTACTTTTTTTTTTTTTTTTTTTTTTTTTTTTTAGTATTGTATTTGCCGATTGAAAATAATTTACACTCGTAATTTATAAAAACAAACATTTACATGACTGGGGCTTGAAGAAGACAAAATTCATCTTATCATTAAGCCCCCCCCAAAAAAATGCATATTCATCAAATAAAATATTTTAACAAAATGTAAAAAATAAAATATATAACGTTTAAAATATTTAGTAATTCAAAGAGTATTTATATTTAAGAACTGATTAGTAAAATAAGATGATATATAAGTATTAATATTACAAAAAGAATTTACAATAACTTTTTTTAATAAAAATTGAAATTATAAAATTTTACAATATTTTTAGTAATTAGTATTTCAAATGATAAAACTTAAAAAATCGTTTGTAAATTCAAAACTTATAAGATAAGAAATACATTTACAATAGCAGACTATTGTTTAGAATATTAAATATAATATTAAAGAGTAATTAGTAGGTTAATTTTTGTTTTTGTTTGCTAGTTTAAAAAGCTTTTTAGAAGAACTTTAATTCATTTTCATGTATCATCAGTAATTGCTTAAGTTTTGTTTTAAACTGGTTTAAAGAATAATTAGATTTCAGCTCATTATTTAATATTGTATTCCACAGCTTAGGACCTCGATTTGCAATTGAGAATTTGGTTGCTGAATAATGTGTTTTGGATTGAATGTAATTGTTTTTTGAAAATCTGGTAGGGTATATGTGGTTTATTTTTTCAAAAAGTGAATTAAATAACATTGGTGGTATTTTTTTATCAAGTTTAAACATGAAGATAAGAATATGGTAAAGGTTTAGTTTATATACATTTAGAATATTAAGTCTATTAAATAATGTTTTAGTGTGAGAGAAACGGTCTACGTTTGTAATTATTCTTATAGCCTGTTTTTGTTTACTAAACAGTTTTTTTACTTTTGTTGCGTTTGTGCTGCACCAAGCAACGTTTGCATAATTTAAGTAGCAATGAATTAAAGAAAAATATAAGTTTTTTAAACAAGATAGATTTAAAAACTGCTTGGCTTTATACAAAACACCTATATTTTTTGATATTTGATATTAAATTTTCATCCAGAACCACACCTAAAAACTTTATTGATTGCTCTCTTTTTAATAATGCGTTATCAATAAAAAGATCAGGAAGTTTTAATGGAATATTTTGTTTTTTATGAAGACGATGGAACAAAGTGTATTTGGATTTATTGATGTTCAAAGATAGTTTGTTTGATTTGAACCATTGGGTTAATTTTTCAAGTTCTTTGTTTACTGTTTGAAATAATTTACTGATATCTTTACTAGAATAAAACAAGTTTGTATCATCTGCAAACAAAATTAAGTTTAAAATGTTAGAAAATTTATATAAGTCATTAATATAAACGAGAAATAAAAGTGGTCCTAAAATTGATCCTTGAGGAACACCACAGGTGATTGACTTATATTCCGTTTTTCCGCTATCATATGAAATAAACTGCTTTCTATGACACATTACACTATAATACAGGTTAAACTTTAATTTAACTAACGTGTAATTCAAATTCAAAACCAAATACAACATTAGTCACATTAATACAAACTATAACTCTATTTTACAAAAACTACTTCTAAATGATAAATAAATCAGTAAAAATAGAATAGTTTTCAGAATGCCATTCTGAATGATATTTAAAATATACAGAACATTATTCTGTTTAAGACTAAAAACTAAATCTTATATCATTAATTTTCTTCCAAATAATAATGTAAATAAAGAGTTGATACTAAATAGGAGATTAAGTTTTGTATCTTTGAGAAATAAATAAAATTAAACAACAAAGCATTTAAAAAATGAAGTTGTGTTACTAAATGTGAATTTAGCAAAATCGATTTAAATATACTGATTTTATGCCTACTTTGAAGAATTATGCCTTCGGCAGTTTTTGTTTCAATAGGTTTGTGTCTGTAATTGTTGAATTTCCAGGATTGATTCTATCATATCCTACATTATTTTTTGAATTTCTCATGTACATCCAACAGTACATCCGCTCAAACATCGCACAAAATGGAAACATGCAAAATTTACGTGCCACCCCCTGAGCGTACTTAGGGCCCTCAAGATCTATCATTATCCCACTAAAACCTTTACACATTACTTTTATTATGTTAGGACAACTTATCCTCACTATTAAATACTTTTACAAAGCCAAAAAATATTCACTGCACCATTTTAAACAATTCTCACCCATGATCTGCATTTCTATATATAAATATTAAATGTTATTAAAAACTGAAGAAGAATCATTTCCTAGAGAATCCGTTTGTATATTTAGTAGATAAATTACAATCTACAAAAATATTTTACAAACGCTTGTTCACAATAAAACTAATTTATTCCACAACCAACAAAATGATATATATATATAAGTACAAATATCATAATATAATTCCATTTCCTGTTAAATCTAAATAGAGATATTAGGTAGAGATCTGAATTTCATTAGAATGTTTAGAAAAATCAAATTAAATTTAATTACTTATGTTGCTTTTTGTGTCTATAATAGGCTAGTCAGGAAATTTATAAACATTATGTTAAACAAAATTGCTTATCAAGGAATAATTTGCAGAGCAATCTAGAGGTCAAGATTACGCCGTATTTTAATAACTTATCTACACCTAAAGCTTGTATAAATTTAAAACGTTTGTAAAGATACTGAAAAACTCAAGTGTTTATGTTAAAGTTTTGAACATATTTTTTCTTTTACAGAATACAAAAGAAACTTTTGTTTTTATTTTAAGAAAGCTATAGTCGTGGTGTTTGCTGGGATCAAGTCGAATCTTGGATATATGCTTGCATGAATTTATATGTAACAACGTAAAATTACTTTTTGATTACGCGTAAACAAAGTTGTCAGTATATTACTTATTATGAGTTGTTATGTAAAGAACAACATTTATTGTTTTTTGCACCTTTTACTTAAAACTGTTCTTAAAAAATTTATAAAAATAAATTTATTTTTTTAGCCAAAAGACAGCATGTTATTTTTCAAACAGCTTTGGTGAAAAATGGACGAGTAACTACTACTTTTTTGTTACGATATAATTTTGTTTTAAAAAATGCAAATATTTTTTTTAGAGCTATTTTGCTGTTGCTAATCTCCTGTTTTTTTAACTGAACAATTTATTGTTGTAGATTTAGATCTTCGAGTGGGCTCTGTTCTTGGTCATCATATATTAACAAGAGATTTGTATGTTATACATCGAAATCAAAAAACTTACTTGATGTATCATAAAGAATATAAAAAGTGGTTAGCGATTTCCGTCAATGAATTTGAAAAAAATATATCTAAAAACTTAAACTTTTCAGCATGTTTGAGGTTGGAAGGAACTTATGAGCAGATTTTTACATCTTCAACATCAACAACTCAACAATGGATGGGTAAACAATTTAATTTAAATTTTTGTTTAAAAATTTGCTAATTAAGGCTTTAACATAAACTCAAATTTTAAAGTTCGCGAAGCCTTGGCACAGTGGTTGAAGTTCTGTCTCAGAGCCAAAATGATTTGGTTAAATGCCGGCACTAGGCCATTCAGTGACATTTGGTAATGAAGGAGGCGTTACTTTCTTGGTTAAATGCTTCTTTGTTGTGTTCCGTAGTATGGCCGATAGGTCTTTTTGGAGCTCGTTAATACCTAAAATTAAAGAAAATCTGCACAATTTTAAGCTAACGTTTTCGTAATTAAATTAATTTCACTTTTATCAAAATAAAGTTTTGTTTTTCAAAGTGTTTAGATTAAACATGATTTGGATTAAACTAAGAATTGTTTAAAATAAAAACAATTTTTTCCAGCTTATATACCACATTGTTAATGTAACAAGATATTTCCAAAAAGAGGATGATTGAGAAAAATCAAGTCAAATACGTCAAAATTAAGAGAAACTAATCTGAACGAAATAAGTCAATTGCGAGATAATTTCTTTAATTTAGGAGAATCTATAAAAATAATGATTTACTAGCAAAAAGCAACCCGTAATACGGGTTTTGGTCGGTCTGCTACATAATTAATTTATAGTGGCTGTTTTCCACAATTTAATGTTGCAAAACCTTAACTAATACCCTTTTAGAAAATCGCCTTCAGCTTGAAAAAATTAATCCATCTGTAAAATTAACATAAAAAGTATGAGGAGGTAAAATAATTTACCAACTACTACTTAACATTTACAAAAACTACTTAACATTGTTTGAGTGATTTACACATGGCATAGGTCATAACAGTGTAAAGCAGAACCATTTTCATCGACCGTCCTAAGTTTAACACAATACGTTTTTAGTTACTGACACAAAATAATAACACTTTATCATGCTTTAAATTGACAAAAGTATCAACTAAAACCTTGTAATATTTTTTTAACACAAACCATTAAGATGAAAATGAAGTTAACTCATATTATACAGGAGTTATCAATTTTTTTGTATCCCCTTGATTATTTATTCTTCAGAAAAGAAAATTATTAACTTTAAAATGTTAAATGCACACATTTAATTAAATTTATTAAAATTAACTAAGTTTATTATAAATAACTAAGCAACTGAGTACAAATACGTTTCAAACAAAAAAAATTTAATTTACAATCAAACATCGGTATAACAAATTTGAAAAAATATGTAAACTTAATGCATTAATGCATCATATGACAAACATAAAATAAAAATTATAACAGATAAGTAGACATAAAAATTTGTAAACCAAGCTGACCCAACCCGGGTCTTGTTAAGTCTGTTCAACACAGACCATTTCTATATTATTTGTTTGGCCTCTTTACTTCATTGATTTTTAGTAAACGGTAATTTGCGACCATAAAAATTGCTTTTGTAACTCGAAATTTAATTTTCCTAAATATTTTGACTCTAATAAAGAGGTTCCTCCCCTCATCTTGCTTTAATGGTGGCCGGGTGAGTAGAGTTTTTTTTATTAAGAGTAATCATGTTTTTGATAAAGATCTTTTACCAAAATAATAAAATATAAAACAATAATCTACATATATAAGAATGTTTTTTTTCTTTCCTCAAAAGTGTTGCAAATACAGACTAAGCTAACTAATTAGTTAAACACATAAATAAAACTTAAGTAACTTGATATTAATGCGCAAAACTACAATATTCTCCATTACCTTAAAGGTTTTTAGTTACGACCCCCCATTTACAAATATCCCCTTAAAATACGTACCACAAATTATTAAGCATAAAATAGATCAAATGTAAAATTAACTAATAGCATATATTTATATCTTTTTAACTAACAAAAATTTACAATAAAAAAAAATCAGATTTTTTTTGTTTATATCATATTTTATTTATTTATTATATTTTATCTTATAAATGCGTCATAACATAAATCTAAAATAAAAAAGCAATGATATTATATCATAATTACAAAGAAAAAAAACCACCACTCAATTACCGAAAATCGATTTACCTATTTAAAGTAACCTATTTTGAAATTGAAGTTAAAGATTCATCGAAAATGTCACTATAAAATCTGTTTTGTAGTACAAAAGCATTAACAATACAAAAAAATAATCAAACTAAGATAAAAATTGTTGTCTTGGCTTTTATAATTTGAACATATATACAACTATATTCAAATATGACTTTATGTAACACATATAAACGCATTTTACAACTATTGAATGATAGATATTTATCACCAACTATGAAAAAAAAAAAAAAAATGATAAATAAAGTTATGCATACAAAATGTGCTCACAACCTTTAACAGTAAATTTTCGAAATGAAAATCTTAAGACTGTAAAATAAGAACATTAAAAAATATAACAATATTTTTCGTAACATTTTTTTACCTACTATAACTTGAATAAATTGTTTATCAATTTTGAAAAACAAACTGTTAAATGCTCTAGTTCTTGAAAATACAACATATAGTTGACCATGAGAGAAACACGGTTTTTGAGATATTTTTTTTGTCTCTATGTTTAATTTCGCGTTACGTAATATATGGACTATCCGTAAAAGAAAATACTTGAAGCTAAAAAGATTTTATTTATTACAATATTTGAACAACCAACGGACATTTAAAGAATTATTAATCTTTAAATAGTTCTTTAAATTGCAAGCAACTCGTAAATATATCTTATAAATGGTCATTATCAATCGCAGTATTAAAAAATACGCAAGAGCTCAGTAATTACATAAGTTTAATCAATTCTCCCTCTACAATTCTCAATACTAATTCTTATTTAAGTCTCATCTAAGAGAGAGAGGAAGTGCTTCAAAAGCAGCATGTTAGAAAAAGTAAATAAGTCACGCAATAAATAACAGTAACTGGTTTTATTATGTTACCAATAAACAAAACTATTTTTACCTTAACTAAAAGTTAATTTCCAGCATTTCTTAATTAAGTTCCAGTTTCTCTCTAACTGTTGACAAATGAATAATATTGTAAATTTCACATCATATTAAACTTACAAAATTAAAACCATGCTTCAACAGTAAGCAAAATAATCAAGTGATGACAAAGACAACTAATAAAAAATGAACACAATTATTTTAAGATTAAAAAAAAAAAAATTAAAATCATTTAAAATTGAAACTGTTATTACTTGTTACTATAAATAGTAAAATTCATACTTTGCTTTATTTTAAAGTGTCTAATGTAAAATCAAATAATAGACATCAACACTGCTTGACACTGAATTCTGGCAAGTAAGTTTTCTGCTCATCAAGCAAAATTTCTTAAATTTCAACGACAATTAATTTTATGACACCTAGATCTTTTTCTTTCATATGACAACAATTTTAAGTCACCTATAACCATTTACACTAATAACTTCTTCGAGCCTAATATTATACATCTGTTATCATTGAACATATTACCAGTGATTATACTACTGTTACAACTGAATAAATGAACGTTTTATATTTTTACAACTGAAAAATATAAAACAAAATTTATTGACATTATTTTAATTTAGCAAAGAATTTAGACTACAATGCAAAGTTATTTATACTTCAGGCACAATCTTAATGCACAAAAATAATAAATGCAGAACTTTGTATAAAAAAATGAAGCAATGTCAGTCTAAAGTAATATATGTATGTATGCATATAATAAGTAATATATGTATATATGCATAAAAAATATATTGTCAAAATATATTTTTTTAACGTTACTTAGCATATAAAAACACTTTATTTAATTAAATTGTTAACTAACAATCATGCACAAATTAGATATAATACATTTCATACTATTATAAAAAAATATTTATATAAACACATTTATAAAACAACTATATAACATATAATATATATTATATAGTTGTTTTATAAATGTTAATAAATTCTCTAAATCTATATGTATTACATATAGGTATAGAGAAATATAATATAGACTTAAAAAACGCAAACTTATGTATATAAACTTACATGACCACAAATAACAATCTTATTTTATTTAACTCTTCATATTAAATACATAAATTAAATTTTATTCTCATTATTCTTTCTATAAAAAAAATCTTAATGTATGTATGAAAAAACAAATTGAACTAACTAAAAAAGCGATCAGCTCCACTTAACTGCTCTAAAAAATAAAACAAATACTTGCTTAAAATGTTTTAAAAAGACTAATGACAAAACTGAAATAGTTTTCTTAAAAAAAAAACATTGTACTAATAAAACTATTTTAAGCATAACACAACATTTTTTTGATAAATCTCAGAAGAATTTTTTTTATATTTCTATTCTCAATAATTTTTGCTAAGAGAAAATATACATATATAGAGAGAAATATAAAATAGACTAAAATAAACGCAAACTTATGTATATAAGCTTACATGAACACAAATAACAGTCATTTTATTTGACTTTTCATATTAAATACATATGTAAAACTTTATTTTATATATAATTCTTTTTGCAAAAAACAATCTTAATCTATAAATAAAAAAACGATTTGAACTTACTAAAAAAGCCATCAGCTACTCTTAACTGTTCTAAAAAATAAAACAATTGCTTAAAATGTTCTAAAAAGACTAACGACACAATGAAACATTTCATTTAAAAATAAACATTTTACTAAAAAAACCATTTTACCAAACATTTTAGTTCTAACTTCTTCTAAAAAATAAAAACGGGCAATAAAAATTAGAAAAAATAAAAACTAGCAACAACAAACTTACAATTGCTTAAATTTTTAAAAAATAAACAACATCAATTCTTCTTGAAAATAAGTTTATCAGCTCCAATTTGCTTGCTGATTTTACTCGAAAGACCGCGTGGAATGTATAACTGCGCTTAGAAAAGTCTAGAAACAACTTAAAAACTTAGAAATAGTGTATTTTACATAATGCAGAAGCGTAATTAACAAAACGAACAATAGGCGTAACTATAATAATAATATTCATTGCCGTATTTA